GTAGGATGGTTCATCCAATCATACAATAACAACTCATGTGCACTTAATTTTTTTAAGTTTTATTGATTCATTATATTACTTACTGTATATACACATCTTTTTTATTATTATTTTTTTGAACAAATTTTACAAGGGTTGGGTTCGAACCCCAGCATGAGGAAGGGGGAATGTACCGTGGGTGGCTTTTACCACTTGATTCGAAGGACTCGGTGCTACACATCTTTTTTATTAATGCCTTAGTCTTTTGTTTTTTACATTTAGAACTAATTATTTAGTATCGCAAGTATTTAAACCTAACTTAAATTAATATATTTAATTTAATAAGTGTTCAATTACACTTTTGTTAGTTAATATATAGTGCCTACATTTTTTTTATTTATACTCAAGATGCTTCTAAATGAATTTTGATGATATATTTTGAGACTAATTTCTTTCTAATGAACTAATACACATTTCAAGACAAATTTTATGAGTGTACCCTACAATAGGTTAGTGTATTAAAAAAAATAATTAATTAAATATTAACTTTAAGACTTAAGCTTAAATTTAATCTATAATATGAAAATTACTTATATGTGAATTTTATCTTGAGTTTAACTGTACTTACATTGTTTTTTCTTTCCCTTTTTATATGAAACGAAGAAGAAAAATTTTTCGTCCCAAATTTTCACTTGAAAGCAAAGGTGAATAATTTTCCTCTCAAGTTAATGGTTTTAGCCAATCCATTCAAGGCGAGCCTCCACCATTGGCGTGTTGCGCAGATTATTGTGCGAAGACGTTGAGATGTAATACTATTTCTACTATTTCCTTTTTTTTTTTTAAAAAAAATATTAGGTGTTTACAGTCCATTTTCTTTACAGGGCGTACGAATATCATGGGCTAACCCCAAAATTGTGCACCCTATAATAATAGTTGAAACAGGTGAGTATTTTCCCTAGAGAAAATGAGGGTTTTGTTGTCTTCAGTATAAATAGAGTGCTATATCAAAAATCAATAGATCCTCTGCGTTTCTGCTCATCTCTCCGGGGTTTCTGAACTTCTCCCTTCTTTGATTCCACCATTTGTTCCCAATAATTTTCTAGGGTGGTTGCTGTTCGGTTCGCTAGAAAATTTTGGCTTCTTCCTTTGATTTTCCTTTGTTTTTTTTTCCTTTGCATGTTGAAAGATGAAACCTTTCCGTGGGATTTTGGCCTGCTAGTATTGATGTCTTCAAAATTTCTTTTCTTTGCACAAAGGCTGAAACTTGTTTTCTTTCCGAGAAAATTTAGGCTATTTTTTTCTCTGGGTTTTCTTCCTTTTCTCTTTCCTTTGAGCTTTTAAACCCTTCCTCTAGGTTGCCATTATTAATTTCTTCAAAACTTGTAATTTTTCTATGCAAAGTTTGAAACTTTAGTAATAACTACACACTGCGTAGCTGCTCAATATATATCTGGGGACTTTGCTCAATTCTGGTGAGTATATGTGTCATTTTTTTCTTAAAAAAAAAAAAAGAAAATTGATTTTCCTGTAATGTTACTGATTGACCTGGCTCTGTTGATGAAGTAGAAAATGGTGAGAGGAAAAATTGTGATGAAAAGGATTGAGAATGTAGCAAAGAGACTAGTGACCCCCACTAAGCGTCAAAACGGGCTGCTTTTGAGCTATCTGTTCTCTGTGATGTCCATGTTGCAGTTATCATCTTCTCACAACAAAGGAAGACATTATGAGTTCTCAAGCTCCAAGTATGTTCTCTTTAATTATACTAACAAAGTTCTTCAATTGATTATTTCTTTTTACTATACATGTTAATCATTTAAAAGATTTTACAAGTTTGGTTTTTGTTCCTCTTTTCTGTTTTTAGTCAATCGTATTTAATCCTTTTGTGTTTTAAAATCCTTTTTGTACTACAAGGTTTCTTCCATAAATTTTACAGATGCTTATTATGTGGATCTGTGCTTCCTTAGTTCCATTAGGAAATCTTATCATTTGTGTGTGTGTGTGTGTTTTTTTTTTTCCTATTTGTCCTTGAGTTCATTTCTTTTTATGAAATATCAAGAATGACTCTCAATCTCTCATGATATGGTTTGCTGCTGGAACAAATCCATTTGGGTGCATTTAGCCTTTTTCAAACATGTCTATTAGGGTTTCCAAAAGCTTTGCTGCTAAGGAACTAGAAACTGTAATTTTAGTTTTTAGCCTGCCACCAATTCAATTTAAATATTAATTATTAGATATTAATTCTCACACTAGTTTTGTCCTTTTTCTTTATTTAAAAAGATACTTATATAGGTTTAACACATTCTACAACACTCATTAAAAAATTTTTTTTTTTTTGTCTAGAATTAAAAACAGAAAAAACTTAAGAGATGCAGCGATATATACAACATGAGAGAACCGGTTAAACTGGCTGCACTTATATTGTATTTTAATGATTAAAGTGGTTAGATATTGGTTTTTGTTGAACTAGAGGGTGTCCAAATCATTGGTATACCTTCTGGTTTGACAACTTAACTAACACCTACTGGTTCAGCCATTAAAATTTGTAATTTTAAGTGTTTCAGGTTTTAATTAAAATTTAGAAAACAATAATCTTTAAGGAGTGTGTTGTAGAGTATATTGAATTGGAAGATGTTTATATTAGCATCCTTTCTTTTTATATATATGGTGTATGATATCACATGTTTTGGGAATTGTGTTAAACCCTCCAATCTTCATTATTAAAGTTTGACACTGCATAAATAGTTATGAAATCATTAATTTCTTGTAGCATATGTCTTATAGATGTGAGTCTATGAATTTCATTGGTGCATGGCTGATTAAAATAAATGTTGCCTCTGTGTGTGTTTGAAGGATTACGTGAATGTATGCCTTTATGAGGCATAGAAATCTACTTTATTTTCTTAGCTGCATGCTTTTAAGCTTATTAGATTTTCATTCTTTACCACGAATAACTTATTGCTAAGCGTTTTCTTTTCAAGTGTTGGGTAAATATTTACGTTTTTGTCTCTTTTATTATATATTTATGAGTTATAATTCACTTACAAATTTCATTATGAGTAGTTAAGATTTATCCACTTTT